TTATTCTAATTTAGGCCCAGATGAAAAATAAAGACACTTTTAAGCTCCTGACAGGTCGGCGTGAATAAAGCACTTTAAAAAAAAAATCCCATAATTAATCATTTAATGGCCTTCACAGCAGAATAAATCACCACGATCCTGATTCTTTGATGAAAAAACACCAAACAAGCAGTGAACTATGATAATCTGCACCTCATTATTTATTCTCTTTATCATTATTAATTTTATTCAAGTGGGAAATCTGGTTGAGAAGCTTTTCTCATTCTCTACGACGATGTCAAATTCAATGAATAAACTCAATAAATTCTGATAAAACACTCCGATACCTGAAATATTGGGCAGGAAATACTAGATTTATTTATTAAAAGTGTTAGTTTTTTCTCTTAGATGTTAAAAAAAAGCTTTCCCTATCAGCTAAAAAAAGGAATTGTTCAAATTAAGCCTTTTAAAACAAGCTTTGAGCCATAATATGAACCCCCCCCCACACACATTCTGTGCTGAGTAATGGTTCAGCTCCCTTTAGATGACTCAGCATTACTCACTCCAGCTGTGCCCTGCTAAGCTAACGTTAACTAACTCCCTCATTGATGAGAAGAGATGGAGTAAAACATCCGAACAACAAGAATAAGGAAAAAGGGGGCAATAAATGAGTGCCCGGGGCAGAAAAGGGGCCGGTTTGCTTGCAGGTGTTTCCTAAATGGCGTCGTCTTTTACGAGGCGTCCCTCCGATAATCATTAAACCGCTTGAGCTTCGTTTACAGCTCTGGAGTTCTTTCCCATCCGAGGAATAGGGTTTTCACGATACTAACATTTTCAACTCGATACCGATACTCAGGAAAATACTCGATACTCGATACCATTTTCAATACCACAAGGATAAAAACAAAGACCCCAAAATTTTACTGAATTTTGACAGGTTAGTGTCTTTCATTTCAAACTGACCTGTTACTGATGTTATGGTGGCCCAGATTAAGGACCCTAACCCTAACCCTAAACCTAACCCTAACCCTGACCCTAATCCTGACCCTAATCCTGAACCTAACCCTAACCCTCCACCCTTCATAATTGTGAGAAATACATATTTTATAGTTTTATAGTTAAACTTGTTTGGACTTATTGTACAAACCTATTTAACATCCACTATTTTAACTTAATATTATGTATAGAGTTTATTAAGTGTTTGAAAGATTTCACTGTTTTTAAATTAATGTCTAGAATGTCTGGAATCAAAATGGCCGACTTGGATGTGGGCGGGGGTGGGGGGGGGTGGTGGTGGTATCGATACTTTTGAAAATGAGTATCGTATCCGGATACAACATTTTAGTATCGATACCTTTATGAGTATCGATACTTTTGACAACCCTACTTTGGAAGTGAAAAAGGCTTCTAAACCTGGAGGTTTAGACGGAGGTCAAAGGTCAGAGACTCACCGACAGCACAGTGCAGGATCTGTGAACAGAAAGGAGACAGAAAAAGACTCAAAAACCACATTCAGCTCAGTCCCACTCATGACACATTCCTGACTTTTCAAGCCTCTCGTGGACAACTAAATTTGATAAAATTTAGTTGTTCCCCCCCTGAACTGAACTCTGCGTAAAGCACAGACACTAAAACGAGCTTTTGGACAACAGTTATGTTGTGGCCCCTTTAAAAAATGGCTTCTTTAGTAGTTCCTGCTTTAAAATCAGACTCTTTTGGGTATGGATGTCCCGATCCAGCTTTGTTTACTTCCGATCCCGGCCTATCAGAGCATGTGTGAAAGTCTAAAGTTATTTATCTACTTACTTAGTTGTCAGACTCATGTTGAACAGGGATTTACTCTGATAACAACTTAATGGTTAGGACACAGACCTGTGGGTTACAGATGCTAATGCTAATGCTAATGCTCGTGTGGGATCGGACCTTTTTTTTTTTTTAAACTGGATCTGGAGTCTGGATCTGCGTTTTCTCTTGCCGGCCAATACGTTTTTTTATTTTTTTTAGAAATATTGGCGGCCGATCAGATCCAAATATGGGTTTGGGACAAGCAAGCTTAGTGTAAAGTTCAATTCGCTTTTATCTATGTAGAGCCAAATCACAGCCACAGTTACCTCCCGGCTTTCAGAGCAGGTCAGACCGGCTCTGAATTTATTTAAAGAAGAACAACAGTTCCCATCAAGAGCAGCACTAGGAGACACAGGGAGGGAAAAACCTCCTTAGTTTATCTAGTTATTTAGCCTACTTACTTAGTTGTCAGACTCATGTTGAACAGGGATTTACTCTGATAACAACTTAATGGTTAGGACACAGACCTGTGGGTTAGCAGATGCTAATGCTAATGTTAATGTGGGATCGGACTTAAAAAAAAAAACTGGATCCGGAGTCTGGATCTGCATTTTCTCCTGCCGGTCGTTTGAACTCCTAACAGGGTGTAAATGACACATGAGGAATGAGAGTAGCCTTGTTTTTTTGTTTTTTTCATAGAAGCAAAAACCACTTGTA